ATTCCTGCTCTTCCCATTTTTTAGTTTGTAGTCTTAATGGGATCATCAAGGTGATGGATTATTAGCTTTTTTTCCTTATTGCTGTTCTGGCTTTGATGAAAGGAAAACTTTTAAGAGCAGCAAATAAGCATTTTGGTTTGTGTTGCCGACTTAATTTCAGTGTTAACTTCATCTGTTCTTCTGAAATGGGAATCTTTACCAAAGGAAAATGTGAGTTTAGGTTTTTACCTCCTGTTCCTTGGTGACCAGAAGAAGAAGAAGAAGAAAAAAAAAAAAAAAAACTTAACATTGTGAAGAAGATCATTAAAAATAGAGGGGTGATCTACCTGATCAGTGAGCGTGCATATCATGACTAAACTGTTTAACATGTAGCTGCCATCATGCTCTAGGAACAGCATCAAGGCTAGAAGCGAATTCTTTTGTTGGTGGCTGTAACAATATATCCTGAAGGGAGGAGGTGTGAAATAAAAATGTAAAGGTAGAAATTATAAAAGTATTTTTTAAACCAAGACTTTCTGATTTGGTTTAAAGTAAATGAGTTGCTACGATGAATGAATGAATTTGGAGTGATTCCTTTTTCTATTCCCTCCTTTGTTAGGATTATCCAAGACACTGATAGCTAGGTAAAATTGTAGTTCCTTCACCTTATTGAGCCTGTTGACAAACGTCTAAACATACCAGTGTTTTGAAACGAGAGCTCCAGTTCTCCTGCATATCCGAGTTGTCTCTTGAAATTCCTGTAGTGAAAGCTTTCTAATTCCCAGTGTTTTTAAACCCCACGGATACGTAGAGCAGCGTAGTTTGCAGAGGGGCTTGATGCAGGTGGTTTGTCACAGGGGCCCTTTTGGATGCCAAGGAGCTGCTGCCTGCTCTGTTCTACCTACGTATCCCCTGTGTCATCACTCACTGGTGAGGAGGCAAATGTGTTCACTGGGGCTTGCCTGTCCCTCCAGAGTCTGTGGGTGGATTAACTTTCTTGTGCTGCTTATAAAATTGTTCATTGGAGAAGGGCTTTTACAGAAAGTTACCTACCAATAGATAGTCCTTGTGCTTCCCAGGGGACTGTCTGCATTTCCTCCCTTCCTCAGGTATGATGATTCAGAGGTCTGTAAAGCGAAGCACCTCTCCTTCAATAACTTTGGAGAGCTGGCTTACTTCAGGAAGAACTGCAGGAACTTGGGAGGAAATTCTAAAGTTGTGGCAAAAGCCATTGCTTTCAAGCTGTGGGGAAAGCGTAGCTTGTCAGGAGCTTCCTTTCAGTATGCGCTTCTCTGTAGAAAACTACTACATTTATCTCAAGATTTTTTTTTTTTTGTAAAATATATACGAAGATTTACCAGCCTTTAAGGTTGATAAATCACGATAAAACATTTGTTGTTTTCTTAAATCTAGTTCTGATAATTACAGCATTCTAAGTTTTCAGTTAAATGCCTTTTTTATAGTTTTCAAATAACTTTATTGCAAGTATTTTGAAAAGCCTGAAAGAAAATGCTTGTATTAAGATCTGGAACTTGCTTGGCAGAGACAAGCTGATAGAAAAGCTGATTTGGTTGGTTAGTCTTCCAGTGTAATATTTCCTGAAAAAGATCTAATCGAAATGAGCATAGATACAAAGAGCTCTGTATTATTTAAAAGTGCTATGTTTTCTGAAATTGCATATGTGTGTATGGATTATTTGGTTGGTACCAAGTAGAATTGCCACCAAAATCTGACAGGTGCAAAAAATTAGTGACCATGCCAAAATGAGGTCTGGTGTTCTGGATTTCTGCATATTAATTTAGAGTGATCTTTTCTCTTAATACTGTTAGGCTAATTCATTTGTCATGCTGTCCTTTTTCACATGTGTTTGCATCAAAATAGCTGCAAAGCTGTGCGTGTTGCACTGGGAGAAGCTTTTGAAGGTGTAGGCTAAAGAGAAGGAGGAATTCTTCCTGGAAGTTAAATTTGAGTTTCCCAAAGAGCTCCCTGAAACCTCTTTCTATATATATGTGTGTGTGTATCTGCTAAGGAAATAATCAGTTGTCTCATTTTGTGTTGAGGAGTTAAATCCACTGGTTTGCACTGATTTTGCTGGCTTTAAGCGGAGTGTATGTGTTGCATGTGCCTTTGGTAGGCATCTGCACAGTTCTGCTCCATGTCCAGTGATGTTTTGATGTTGGATATTAATCTTGAGTAAATTTAATAAGATAATGAGTAAACTACTATAAAGAACAAGAGTTGGTTTCCTCCTTTGTGGATACAAGACTTTAGCCGAGTATGTAGTTATGTCATTTGGCTCTGTGTTTTGAGGAGTCAGTAGTAAAGAAAGCTTGTGATGAGAAAGAATAAAGCAAATTATTTAAACAGATTTCCCAGTTGGTCTTGCTAAGTAGCAGGCTTAGCTGTAGAAGGCTTGCTGATTGTGAATTAAGTCAGCTGAAGATATTCTCACTCCATTGCAATTCTGTGTGTTTTAGCAGACTGCTGGTGCTGCTTGTTTCTCTAGTGACTTCCAATCTGCCTGGATCCACTTGAATTGCCTTAACGTGACTTGCAATTAATTTGCTTCTCATCCTCTTAAGTTGTCTGTGCTCAGCTGCCAAGCTGACTGTCTATGCAGGCCGTGCCTCCAGCCATCACAACCAGCCAGCTCAAGTCTTACCCAAACGTCGCTACTTCCAATTTCCGTGGACTCTTGCAGGCTTGAACATGGTTGCTCAGCTTGCTGGTCAGCAGCATTATCACTAAAACATTACTGCTGCACAGAGGCATTTGTTCTTTTGTAGTAAGATGCAGGGTATAAATACATAAGAACACTTACCAGCAAAACT